CGTCTGATGGGTGGGCCCGCCGGCCAGTTTCCGGCTGGTGGCTCGCACAGCGTGAGCTCCCACTTCTCCAGTTCAACTACCAAAACCATTAATGATGGCGGTGTTGTGAAGCAGGCCACGTCTAGTACTCAGGAGTCTCGCCAGACTGTCGACGGAGTTTCCACGGGATCCAAGAGCCAGTCCTCGACCACTACCACCAACTTGGCCGGGGCTGGCGCTCCTGAGGTGCTAACGGACAGACCTCTGGGGTCGGGCGCCATCGTGCCATCCCAGATGGGCCAAATGAGCGGTGCTATGGACTTCTTGACAGATGCCTTTGAAGTTGGAGATGATGGACTTGTAAGTCGATTTTAATTAATGATCTACATCTAGCTGTTTTTCCGCGCAGAGTTGAGGCAGGAACGATTTATTTGCTAGACTCAGCCCAGGTATGCCACAAGTAGGAAACCGAGTGACAGTTCGAGGGGTCAGTGGGTCGAACGCGTGTGACTGAAGGTTTTATTTGTTTGCGAGATCCCTTTCGGTTGCATATAGCCCTAAGAAATATGCACCGTAATAAAACCTGTCTCGACTCAGTCCGTCAGAACAGAACAATGGTTCCTGGACCTTCGATATTCAGTCTCCGGCGCTGACGAATGAAAGGGCTTGAACGGTCTAGGTCTGCGGCCACGGATCTTCGCGCGTGAAGACGCACCGTACGGAACATCCTCGAGGCCGGTTTGATCAGTCATGATCGCAGCCGCAATCAGTACAAGTGCCGCAGTAGAATTTTAGATTTTCTCTGCACGCATAGGTTCTGTCTTTTTGAACCTTAAAACTTTGTGAGCCGCATAATCTTTCTTCCTTCAATGTTATTAAAAGAGCAATGCTTTCCAGGCACCCAGTTCATGTCCCTACCGGTATTAATCATTACAGATTATGGCATTTTGTTTTCACAACTTAATTTTTTGAAGTTTGTGGGGTTCTTTCTATTTGGCTTATAAATGACAGCTGTAGGTAAAGGTTTTTTAGAAATCTAGTGCGATAGTAAATAAAATTGTTTGGGCAAAAATAAGTGATCAATTATTCACCCAACTATTACAGTGTCTGGATTTATGCTCCAAATGGTGGTCAAATGAAAAGGAATACTTGTCTAAGCCAGCTTTTGGATTAAGGTTGAAACATTTTCATAAGCAAACAGCACTCAAAGGCTCTTTAAACCAAGCTTTTGGCCAGATAAATGTAGAATAAACACCAAATGGCGCGGAGCCGTGAACAACGGTTCTAGCAAAAAATACCAGAGGCACCTATTCCTCTTCTGTTCGAAAGAAGACCATCAAGTGGATGAGCTTTGACCTTAAGGTTAGTTAGGAAATACGACATTTTCAAGGGTAATGGATTCGCAGCGCCAAAATAGACGCTGTGTATATAATATTAGCCCAATGGAAAGCAGGCATCAAGCGCTTAAATACTGGTACTGATCGGTAAAACCTAAGTGAAGTGCAGAGCAACCTCTCGTCACAAGACTTGGTATGACAACTTATACAAACAGATGTAAAATTATGCCAGTGAATTTAATTTTTAAACTGTTCGGATGC